TTTGTATACAATTAATTGAAATTCACAATGTCTTTCTTTCTTTCAGAATACGTCTGCAAATGGTTCAATACAACTCAGACGGAGGTTAAGAAGGCTATCACAGCTAAGATGAACAATGTGCAAAAGACTTTTGTCTGAAACTCTTGAATTATTAAGTAACTACAGCAGTATGCTGACAGTGGACATGGTCTGGCCAAGGGAGGTTTTAGCCACTCATTCTGGCAGGAGTGCGAACGCACACAAGAAAAAGACAGTGACGCCACAGCTTGACCAGACATATTGGATCCATGTGATAACTTATATAACACATAATTAAAAAGCAGTAGCACCACCGTTAAATTTGCAAAAATCTATGAAACAATTCTCTAGTAAGCTGGTTGCATACCATACTGTGGAATATGTACATACATTTATACATATTTAATAAAAAATGTAAACATGATACTCTCTTTTGTTTTGAGGGACCAGTGCCTATTACCAATTTTGCCAATAATCCAACAATACATAAAAAGCTGTAAAAATATTCAAAGCAGTTAATATGAATTTATATAGGTTCCTAAAAGATTTCCTTTAGAATTCCTATAAGATTTCCTATAGGATCCTATAAGATTTCCTTTAGGATCCTATAAGATTTCCTTTAGGACCCTATACGATATCCTTTAAGATTTCCTATAGGATTTCCTATAGGAAATTTTCATAAGGGCATTACCATTTCCCACATATTCACCATTTTTATTAATTATGAAATGTGGATTGAATTCCTCAAAACCAGTTTTAAAGCATTGATACAACACCCCCTTATGATTTAAAATAAAACTGAAAACATTCCATTAGACTTTCATTAGTTTATATCATATATATCTCCCAGTGTAACGCGTCTTTGATTTGGTGGGTATAGCTGTTCAACTCTCCTGTGTGCCCTAACAAGGGCATCTGCTGTTTCCCTTTTTATGAAATGATAAACTGTGATGGTGTAGCTATCACCTTGAAAAATTACAGCTTCCCAGAGAACGTTTGAAATTGTTGGTCAAATTCAACATTTTGTAACCACTAGCAAAGAATGAAAGGTTATGTAATTTATAAGTTAATGCGTGAATTTGGTTGAAAATTTAATCAATTAATGATTCATAATAATATTAATATAAATAGAAATCGATCTGTCGTAATTGGCTGAGGTATGCGATAGCTGTGTGCTTATGAATTGTTTATATTTATGTAGCCCCAAACTTCAGTTGAAATAAAGGTGGTTTATATTTTACAATAATATTACTTGTCTGTTCTTAATGCCCCGTATCTCGAAAGCTTCCGGCACGAGCATGGAGATTCCGTGCTATTTGCGAGTGCGATTGCACCCACCTGCTATCTCGAAGCCTTAGCAAACGCAACGCAATTATAACCTCAAACTCCACTAATATTCGATTGCCGCATAAAGTGAGGACGTCATAACACAATTACACAATATGTAATTTTTTTTTCACCATGACGCTAATCAAGAGGTTGTTTTATTTATAGGAATATCATAATTACAAATAATGATATTTGAAGTGTTTGACACCAACAGAATGTCTAAAAACAATTCAATAACCGAAGTTTGGACTGATAGAATTACTGACTCATTGGTGAGTAGTGTTCAGTTTCAAGATAATTGACATTGAGGAAGGTCACGGTGCGACCGAATGATTTGTTTCTGCTTTTTCATTTTGTGTAGAAAATGACACTTTTAAATTTATGATTATTATCAATAGGCTACACAAATTAATTATATTCATCAGAAAATATAAAATGATGTATGAAATGTTTAATTTTGAAATGTTTATACATTATAAAACATGACTTTAGCATTCTTGAGGTGATATTTACAGCAAGTTTTTCTATCAGAGGTACCGAGTGATTCAATCTATGATAAGCTTCCATGTTTTTGTTATATGTTTAGTTATATGCTATTATGACTAGCAACCCTAAATTGCCGCCATGTTTAATTACATGAAAGACACATTAAAAATAAATGACGAATTATGCATACCTGTACGCAGAGGCCATTGCGACTAGTTTGTATAGACGCAAATAATAGTCTCGAAACTAATGGTGATTTCGCTATTAACGCACGGTCGCGATTTGCGAGGCTTTCGAGATATAGGATAGCGAGGAATCGCCATACACGGTACTTGCGCCCGCTCGCCATAAGCGAAACTTCGAGATACGGGGCCCTGCTGTATGTTGTAACTAACCATGTTTCTATACTGTTTCTACCTGTAGACCCTGGTCAAATAACGATACGTTTTCAATGGTGTAGTTACAAAGTGAACACGTTCCCATTCACTTGACGGACTTATTGTCACGCAGGAGAGTAACCCCAAAACGTAAACCGATTTATCAGCCCCTTGAACTTTGTCAGGTCACGTCTAAAAATAGAGAACGCGGAAGTAAAATGTAGTATACGGTGGACACCAGTTGCGTCGAGAGGGAACGCAGTTTGATCAAATAGGTATAACATGCAAGGAGTAGATCTTGGGGTTTAATAAGTAATTAATTTATTTTCGCTCGGTGCCTTGTAAGTGCGAGTGCGTGATGTGAAAGCATGTTTGTGTGTGTGTTTGTGTGTGTGAACAGGTATGTGTACTGAATGTGGCTTCACGGAGGCAAGGTCACATTTTAAGGCAGTTTCCGTCATCCTTTGATTCTACATAGTTATAGTCGATTTTTAAACCAACTCTGTTTATATATATACGGCGTAGGTGTCAGATTTCGACTACCCATGTTAATTGGCAATGCTGGACCTGAAACTACATCTTTATCTAAAATTGTAGTTTAAGACCCAATCAAGCGCACTAATGTGAACTCTGTGATATAAAAGTACACATTTTGTATCGTTTCAGTTATACCAGAACATCTGAGGCATGTGTTGGGCGTTGGTGAAAGTGTTTCGTTCAGTCCTTGTAGGAATCACAACTATTTACTTATACATTACGGCAGGTATTACGTTTTTCTTTCTATGATTCATACGGGTAGGCCTCAACCTAATAGGGGTAAAGGTGTCTAGTTTAGCTCTTTCCTTATAAGAATCATAGGGCCAGACAATTTTCACTGTGCACGAAGATAAACAGTTAAAGAATGCCCACAATAAAATCGGCAAACGAAAGATGTGCCAACATAAAGATAATCGCGATAGTATTATGTTGAAATATCAAAATGAATAGCCCTGCCGTTCGACCCTTTAAACCAATCAAAGCAACGGGAAGGTCACGTGATTACTTCACCTATATCTGATCGATGTAAACAATGGATTTCAACGCAAAGCTTCCAGAGGATTCCCACACGTAGTTTCAATAAAAAAGATACGTCCAAAAAATCGATGTCAATACTGAAAGAAAGGTTAAAGAAGTTGGAGAAATATGTGTATTTACGTAATTTGCTAAATGATGACATGAATTCACGGAAAAAAATACATGCTGTACAGCACGTGTGTAGTAACGTACCACGTTTACTACAATCGCACTAGGTCACACTACTAGTATAGTACACTATAATTATTGTGATCGTACAATCACCTGTGTTCTGTATTGTAAGATTGAATGCACTTAAATTCTACTTAAATTCTCAGATGTGTCAAAATACATATAATAACTTGAAAATTAGTTGAAACCATATTTCATATAGATACTGTAGATATAATATAAATCCATGTGTAGGGTTTTACAATCCTTGATCTTAGAGGTTGTCTAGCTGTTTACGTCCCCGTCACGCAAATTCGGAATCAGCAGGAATCAAGCAGAACCAGCAGGAATTACTAAATTTAAAAATTCGTAATACATTCGGGAAGAAATTTCAAATTAACCTAAATTCTTGTAAGAATGCCGTTGGAATACCCAGAATGCACTTTAATCCGCCTGGGATGATTCGTGCACATTTCGGCTGTATTAGCTCTCAAATGCAGCTCGAATGTAGTTGGAAAACTAGGAATTTCAATAATGCTGTCAGAATGCAGTCAGAATATTTAGAATTCACTTCGAATGCCGTACGAGTGTAGTTCGATTGCTGGCTGAAATGGGATCGAGATGCATTCGAGTTGCATTCTGGCTCATTCTAGCAGGATTTGAAGTGTCACGCCATTTCGGTTCTCCCTAGAATGTGATCAGACTAATTTAAATGCTGTCGGAATGTCGTGAGAATATTTAGAACGCAGTCATAGTGCAGTTAGAATACTATTCAAATGTCATTCGATAATTTTCCACTTGGAATGCACTTCGAAAGTTTTTAACAACAGGCCTACCAAACTACCAGACTCGGCACCGAATGATCCTGAATTCACCGGTAGATCAGACCACACTACCCGTTTTCAAGGTGTGTGTGTCAGATCGCATTAAACAGTATCAGACGCGACACCGCTCTTGCCTAGTACGCGATGTCATAGTGACGATTCTCAGCGGGGTTGAAAAGCATTGCATCACCACTCAAAATTTGTTCAGGGTATGATACTGTGTAATGCGATCTGACACACACCTTGAAAACGGGTAGTGTGGTCTGATCTACCGGTGAATTCAGGCTCATTCGGTGCCGAGTCTGGTAGTTGGGTAGGCCTGAACATGAGCAAATCATTTGGGCCGACCACTAGAATGGGTAAAAATATTTGGAATGCACTCAGAATTTTTAGAATGCTCTTCGAATATCCAGGAACGCACAATGAACTGTCTTTCCGACGGCATTCTTGCTCATTCTGCCTGTAGTGTGATAGGAGTATTATGTAGCTGCACGGTGCTCAAGGAATTATTTCAAAAATAATTGCACAACATTGTAGAATTATAAAAGTTTTAAGTTTTTATATTCAAGTACTTTAATTGCAGAGGTTTAATTTAAAAGAAGTATTTTTATTGTAATTATAATTGCATCATTATCCAATAACAACAGCACATTAAAAGAAATCCCAGCCCACACTCGGCAAGGCTTTTTTTTTTAAGACCTAAAACTTGCTAGCCTCCAAAACAGCTCAAGTCATCAGCGAGATGAAGAGATACCGACTTGACATCCTGGGTATCAGCGAATGCCGTTGGGTAGGATCAGGACGTCTCACGACAAATGACGGTTCACTTATCCTGTACTCTGGACACGAGAGCACACACAGTCATGGGGTTGCCATCATTCTGTCTCGAGAGAAGGCCAGAACTCTCATGGAGTGGGAACCTATCAGTGAGCGGATTGTTAGAGCGCGTTTTGATTCAAAGTACTGCAAGCTCCCTATCATTCAGTGCTACGCACCAACAAACGACGCTTAAGTTGACGTGAAGGATGACTGGTATGAGCAGCTACAAGTGGCAGTATCAAGAGACCCACAGCACGACCTACTCCTAGTCATCGGTGACCTTAATGCAAAATTGGGAGCTGACAATTTTAACTTTGAGAGAGTGATGGGACCCTATGTATGTGGGGTGATGAATGAGAACGGGGAACACCTGGTTGACTTCTGTATGAACAACAGGCTGGTCATTGGAGGAACCATTTTTCCACACAAGACCATTCATAAGCTCACCTGATGACCACATCATCATCAATGGCAAGTGGCAAAAGTCCCTTAAAGATGTTCGAGTTTACCGGGGAGCTGATGCCAAAAGTGACCACTTCCTTGTTGCCTCCTCCATCAGGCTGAAACATCGGAAGGTCATCCCACAGAGTCAACAACAGAAGCGGAAACGACCGGAGATCCCCAAACTCAAGTGTCCTCTTACCAAGACTGCATTTGTTCTCGAGTTGAAGAACCGTTTCAGCGCTCTAGCAGGAGAAGATAGGACAGAAGCAGACAATGTTAGCCAGAAGTGGGATACCATCAAGAGTACTTACTGCACTACAGCAGAATCAGTCCTTGGCTTCAAGAAGAAGAACAAGGAATGGCTAACACCAGAAACATGGAAGCTTATTGATGAAAGGAGAAGCCTGAAAGGGAAGCTGTTGGACTCCAAATCACCAAGACTTGTAGAACAAGTCAGAGCAGCCTACAAGAGCAAGGATAAGAAGGTGAAGAAAAGTGCCAGGAGTGACAAGAGAGCCTTTGTGGAAAAGTTAGCTAGTGAGGCTGAACAGGCTGCAGCACAAGGTGACATGGGTACCGTCTACAAGATCACCAAACAGCTTAGCGGAAGCCACAACAACTATTCTGCTCCAGTGAAAGACAAGAACGGCAAAACCCTGTCCACAGAGAGGAAGCAAGCAGCACGATGGGTTCAGCACTTCAAGGAGGTCCTTAACCACCCTGACCCCAGTGAACCAGCTAATCCCACACCCGCAGATGGTATCCTGGACATCAACACAGATCCGCCCACCAGAGAGGAAGTCAGGAAGCTATCATTGCTTTGAAGAATGGCAAAGAATCTGGCATTGACAACATCCATGCAAAAATGCTTAAAGCTGATGTTGGCATGGCCACAAACTTGCTGACTGACCTCTTCAGTACCATCTGGGAGAAGGACACGATACCAGACGATTGGACAAAGGGTCTCATTGTAAAGCTCCCTAAGAAAGGCAACCTCCATGAGTGTGACAACTGGCGTGGGATCACTCTCCTGTCCATACCCAGCAAGATCTTTTGGCGAGTTCTGCTGAAGCGAATTGACCAAGCCATTGACTCCAGACTTAGACAGGAGCAAGCAGGATTCCGGAAGGGCAGGGGATGCATTGACCAGATCTTCGCCCTGTGGAACATCATCGAGCAGTGCCTAGAGTGGAACACGCCTCTATACATCAACTTTGTCGACAGTATGCACCGGGAGACATTGTGGAAAATACTGCTGTCATAAGGTGTACCATCTAAGATCATCCCTCTAATCAGCACGTTCCACAGCCACTTCCAATGCAGTGTTATCCTGGACAATACCCTGACGGAGTGGTTCCTAGTGGATTCAGGTGTACGTCAAGGCTGTATCTTGTGCCCAATTCTCTTCCTTGTAACCATCGACTGGGTCATGAGGAAGACAACATCCGAAAAACCCAGAGGCATCCAGTGTACTCCTATCCCAGCTAGAAGACCTTGACTTTGCCGATGACCTTGCCCTCCTGTCCTCCAAACACAGCCATCTCCAAGAGAAGACTGACCGTCTGAGTTGTTTTGCTGTACAAGCGGGACTTGCCATCAGCACCACCAAAACCCAGGCCATGTGTATCAACAACAGTACGACAGCACCTATCACCGTCAGTGGGAAACCACTTGAGTCTGGCGACGACTTCACATATCTGGGCAGTCTAATCAGCAAAGACATCGGGGCTCACAAGGACATCAGGGCAAGACTTGGCAAGGCCCAGAGTTCATTCGCTAGACTCCGCACAATCTGGAAGTCGGAGCAATACAGCTTACACACCAAAGTCCATCTTTACAACAGCAGTGTGAAGTCTGTTCTGCTCTACGGGTCTGAATGCTGGAGAGTTACAAAGTCTGACATGAGCAGAGTGGAGTCCTTCCATAACAGGTGTCTCCGCAGAATTTGCCGCATATTCTGGCCGAACAAGATCTCCAACCATGATCTGTGCATACTGACCGGGAGCCAGAGTATTGTGGGGCAGATCAAGCGTCGGCGATTTCAATGGCTCGGCCATGTACGTAGGATGGACGAGAACCGAGTACCAAAGGTAACAAAAAATGCACGTTCTAAGGACGACCAGCTGTTATGGTAATTTCTTGTTATATTCTGATGCACACTAATCCTTCTGAGATGTACCTAAGCATCTCTAGTGCGTGTTCTTCATAAAACTAAGAAAGCATTATGTTTTAACACTGTAAAGACGATGTGCTTTGCTCCACAGTTGCTCCGGTGATAATCCTAGTACCCGCCATGTTGAAAAAAGGTCACAGAGTTAGCATTGTTACTTTATATTTAGTTTCTGCAACAAATACAAATTAAAAAAATGTATTTTTGCTTCATAAGTTTGTCTGTAGTGCAGACATGTGTATTTTAAGGGCTTTTCACAAACCTATACATGGTTTTGATTTAGTTGAAGAAACAGTTTAGCATTTCAGTGGAATAAAAATATTCGTTTTTAGGCCCTTTTTTAAAATTGTTAGAGTTCTAATTTTACAAAGTTTAACACACATTTTATTTCACAAAATTTATATTTCAACCCTTTTTATCAGCACATACCAAAATTATATGGATACAACCTGCAAAAAAGAAGATGTGTGCATTTAAAGAAGGGGAGGGGGTCAAGCATTCGGAAAACATGCTTTATCAGAATCAACATTGTTTGGTCATGACAGTGCCATTTTGAAAAATCTGTACTGGGTATTAAAGGTCTTTCCTAAACCCATCACATGGTTTACCTAAATAATTCCTTATGATGTACATGATTTTAAAAAGAATATTTAAAATTATAACTTTTCAAGAGCTAAAAATGCTATATTTTGCCAATAAAAGACCTTGCCCCATATCTCTAAAACTAATGATCCAAAATAAGAAAGCCAGTAGCTCACAATATCTTTCATGTTGATGGTTTACCACACTAAAAATTATTAAAATCTGCTGACCCCCACCTTGCCGCCTTCTGACCGATCTGTCTGGCTTTCTCATGGACGCGCTCTTAACAATGCAAAAACACCATTAAGACTGGGCTCAGTCAGGCCCTAATTAAGATGGAGTCTTAGCTTCTAGGCATAGAACTAGATCTGTTCTGGGCCTGTGACATGTACATGTAACATTAGCCATGTACAGGTACAATGTACACATCGCACGATCGGGGCTCACTTAAAAATACATTGCAATATTTTGACTTGCTTTCTTCAGCAGGACTACCTTGTTTCTCAGCTTTCTCATACTTCTTTGCTGCCTAAAATGACATCGCTTGTTCATTATCATCCTGTAGAATGAAAAGCCGTGGTATCGTGGACTCCAAGTTGTCGAAGTTGTCTTAATCTGCACAAATCGGCTGAACAGTAGCGACTTCTCTGCCTCCAAATTTAATCGATTATTTAGCTGCAATTCTAAAAGTTTCTCAACAAACAGGTGTGATGTTATCTACTAGTGTGTCTAAGCAACCTTCCACTACGTGCATATAACAAGAAAGTTATGAAATAGGCATTAGAATCGGCCATGCTGCTTAGTTTACATTGCAAGACCTGGTGGGAGGTCACGTGACCCCTCTCCGTTGCTTTGATTGGTTTAAATATTCGAACGGCAGCGTCATTCATTTTGGTATTTTTACATAATGCAATTGCGATTATCTATATGTTGGCGCATCTTTCGTTTGCCGAATTTATTGCGGTTATTCTTTAACTGTTTATCTTCGTGCACTGTGAAAATTGTCTGGCCCTATGATTCTTTTAAGGCAATGAAACGATAGACACCGTAGGTATTAAACTATAATTTTAGTATCATTATGTACAGACACAGATGTGTCTGTACATATAGCCGTCATCTTCGTCTGTCGTCGCCGTCGCCGTCGTTGCCGTCGTCGCCGTGCATTTTTACCGATAACACGATAAGTGGAAAACTGTTTTTTCTTTTTGTTTGAAACTTACAGAACTGATGAATATTCATAATACGCAGGTCAAGTTCGAAAATCAGCATGATCGGGTCACTTTTAGGGAATTTATGCTGTTTTTTCACTTTTTTCAGCATATATGCAGCACCGATAACACGATAAGTGGAAACTGTTTTACC